CCTGGCTTTGCTTGTGACTGCTACGTTACACATGAGTAAACCTCTTTTGTGAACCACACGTGTCACGGGAGTTTCTCTGTCGAACGGGGCAAACCTTACATCTGTAACATCATTCTTTTTAACTTTTTTCTTAATAGCGTCCACATGATCTTTCTTTCTACGTTCCATTCATTCTGTTGGTGGTTGGTTAATCTGTCTTCTAATTCTGTTTCATGAACAACTCATATTTTCTGCAATTATTCTACTTTTACTCTCATCTGATTGTTCTTCCATGTTTGCTTTTTCCCCACAATCCACTCTTGACACTACCAAAAAAAAGGTCTGCCCCATATTCAGAACCTCTCATCACCCTTGAACCTTTCACTAATTCTCCCAATTTGTCAACAAAAACAATAAAATTAATCATGCTTTTAGACTTAGATTTCTCCGTCTTGTGTGTATGCATGAACACACACAAATTTAAATCACATATTCAAAACAAAGATGTTTTCTAAGCAGATACTTATCAAACAAAATTCTCATTCTCTAAATGACTTGCTTTTTCTATATTCTCTTTTCTCATTCCCACCTTTTCAGTTATGTCTTCTAATAGTATTTTCCCCTAGATTATATTCATTCAGAATGCTGCACAAGTTTTCCCCAAACTCATCCCTGGTTTTCTATTATTACATCTATCACCAATCTATGGATTCCTACTTTCATACACACTATATGATACCAATTCATATTTTCTGATACACAGTTTAGTTCTTTCATTCATTTTCATTGACTACTTTCATTTCCAAACACGTATTCATCAGTTTTACTCCACAAGATCAGACCACCTTCATTCTCATCTATTAAACCCTCCTTTTCTTAGTTTTCAAAATATACATCTCTTTTCCTTTCATTTCCTCTATTAACTGATGCTTTTTACCATTTACTCATCTTACATTTCAAGTCAATCTTTCATATGCCGTAATCATCATTAGGTGAATCCACAAATTTTGACTTCTGCCTATCATGGTTTTAGACAATTGAAAGTTTTACATAATGCTTTTTATTAAGGTGTGTGTGTGTGTGTGTGTGTGTACAAAGTGTTGCAGGAAGTGCCTTTACATTGGGTTTCTAGATTTACTTTAGAAAAAATCCCCATGTTGAATTAAAAAAAAACAACAACAGCAGCAAAATAGAGTTGAATAAATCCAAGTAATAAACAAAATTGCTGGGAACAAATCCTTTCATAATTTCAAAGTTTTAGTTTTTAGTATGCATATTGGAATTCCCTTTGAAATCTGAAAAAAAAAATGCTTTACCTCCTTTTACCCCCATTTGCCATCTACGTAGAATAATTAATTTGCAGTTTGTTTATCATCATGGGAGAATTAACTAAAGCAAGAATAAAAGGACATCTTCTGTCTTTCAGCCATGGTTATTGAAATAGTTTCTAATGAACCAAAGAATGTGGTCATTATATTCTTGATGAAATTCCTGTAAAGAAGTGATAGCCTACCCCAAGAAGCCATTTCTAACGTGCAAAAAAATCATGATAATATTCCAGATGTTCATTCATCCTGTTTACATGGAAATGCATTCTGCAAAAGATTTTCATGTTCTGTGATGGAAATCCATCTTTTATGAGTTGGTGCAAAGATATGATGATCTTGAGAAAGTACGTAGCTGGTAAGATTGCAGATGGAGGAACGAGAGGCTATTTTTGAATTTTGGTCAGGTCATTTATCAAATCAATCCAGGTATTCTGTAACAAGGACAACTCAGCAAGAAAGACTGGAAATGCAAGAATTCACTTATTTATTAAATGAACAGCCATGTTACTCGGGTAAAAATCTCTCAGTGCAACTAGTAAATAAAAAAAAAATCAGTATTATGTAGATAAAACAAACATCAAGAGCATCCTTCAAAAGTTACAGGAAAAGTTTGAAAAAACAAAGCTGGATGAGAATGATATAAAAATCTACAATTAAAAAGATTTTTACCCAGAGCTGAGACCTAATGACATCTGACAGTGGTAAGAAAACCATGTGATGGGTTTCCTTTCCTCCTGTGGCAGGGCTACAAAATAGTGCCTGGAAGCACACACTTCCATTCTCAAGGAAACCCAGTTGCGCTTTATGTCCAAGCTCAATACACCCATCTCAGTT